GTCAGAAGGATTATGAGTTCAAGGCCAACCTAGACTACATAGCAAGCCATGTTAGCAAAACAAAATAAAGCCACATGTGGCAGGTGCAGGTGAGTATTCCCTGTACTCCTCAGGCTGAGCAAGAGGATCATAATTTGAGCCTTGTTTGTGCAATTTAGTGACTTAGTGAGACCCTGTCTCAAAGTAAAAGAAGAAAACACACACACACACACACACACACACACACACACACACACAAAGGTTGGGGATGTAGCTCAGGGCAAAAGCAGACCCCTTGGCCAGAAGCGGGGACAGTTGCTCCCGGCTCCACTCACCTGTGTGGGCTTGAGGACTTTACAGGTGCTGCTTTCCTGGAAACCTCACTGTTCAACCTCAGCCTGCACTGACACCTCTAAAAGCGTTCGTAATGGCTAACGTGCTCTGTGCTGGACTCTGTACAAAAATCAGTGGAACACTGGAAACCTTCTGGAGTTTTCATTATGGGAGTTACCAAAGACAAAGACATACAGTCCACCAACTTCAGCCTAAAGCAGGAATTCTGGGTCAGCAGAGGGTGTGGAGGGGCCACCCTGGTGGTCCTCTGGCTAGGCCTCTGTTGTGAATGTGCAAGTTTCTAAAAACAAACACCTCAGAGTGAAGATGTTCCATTCTGAAGAGAGCCTGTTTTCTCTCTGGAAAATATTAGGCGACACCCCCGCCTCATGCGGCCGGGAGTAACGACAATGGCAAAGAAAAATGACTGTACGTGATTATGAACTTTAGAAGGAAACGAAGATACCTGTTAAACATGATGAACGCTGGAAGTGTTTACACTTTAGATGAATCGCCTGGAATGCGTTCCAGAGAACAGTGGTGCTCAGGCCGGGGCCAAGCTCAGAGCAGTCCGGAGTGGGCTGCTGTCAGACTGAGCTACAAAACAGCCCCACGTAGCTTTTGCATATGCAATAGTCTGTTCGTTTTTTTCCCTCAGAATTACAAGGTGATATTGATTGCGGTCAGGTAACGCATCGGAGACAATATAAGGAAAACACAGATGCCTTGACATCTGGAGCGGACCGATGTGAAAAGCTGGTTGGAGCACCCCCTCTGATTATAGACGCATAGTTGGGGATTTTGGCTGACTTTTATAAAAAAGGGGGACAAATCACATGTCCTAGTTCATGGTGTGCAGGTGTTGCTAACTTGGAGTCACAGACCCCCTCCAGGTCAGGGCTCGGCGCTGAGCACTGAGACAGCAGTTACTTTAGAGCAGGCGTGATGCCCCGAAACTCACAGTGTGCTTCTGTTCCCAGCTCTTTTACTCTCTTCTGTGTGAGCAGCTTTATTCTGCTTTCATTCCTAGTAGTCTGTGTTTTTGCATTTTCTCTTTTCTCCTAATCAGGCTGCCAGGCTGATCTGTCTTTTTCATGAAAGGATCAACTTTTGATTTTGTGCCCTTTCTCTTGTGATTTTTCCTTCTATTTCATTAATGTTATATTTTCCTACATTAAATACTTCTTTTTACTTTGTATTTATGCTGAGATTTTTATGCCTTCCTCAGTTAAGATTTTATTCTTTATATTACTTTCCTTTTTAGCTAATAAAAACATTTAGGACTATACCTTTTTACCCTTCTTATCTTAATATAAGTTTGGCTGTGCCTCTTTTTTTTCGGTAGTGGGGATTGAACTCAGGTCCTTGCGCTTGCGAGGCAGCCAGCGGCACCACTGAACTACATCCCCGGCCCCCTAGTTGTGCCTCTTGAGTTCTAGAATTCACTGTTTATTTATTGATTGCAGGCGGCACTGGGAATTGAATTTGCTAGTGGCACAAGGCCATCACACTTTGCTTCAACTCCAGTCCTTTAAAAACATTTTTGATTTGAATTCTCGAGACAGTGTCTCCCCAAGTCTCGCGTTTTCCCAAGCTGGGTTCAGACTTGCAATTCTCCTGCTTCTGCCTCCCAGAGTGCTGGGGTTACAGGTGCGCGTGTTCATTCCAAGCTGCTTTTCATTACTTTCTAGATAGCTGGAGGTTTTCTTCTTCACTACTTCAGCCAACATGGTTCACCCTGACTTTCTCCCTCCCTTCCTCCCTCTCATTCTCTCCTGGGGACTTCACCCCACACCTTGCACGTGCGAGGCAAGTGCACTATCACGGAGCTACACCCTCAGCTCTCAAATGTTTTCCTGTTTCATTTCCTTCCAATTGATTTGGACGTGCTTACAATGCCTTTAGTTCTAGCGCAAGACCACCCTTAGAAGCCACGGTTGCATTGACATTTTTATTTTCCATTTATCTGTTTTACTTTTTCTCCTCACCAGATGCGTTACTTACTAGCTCCTGCCCTGACCAAATAGGAAATCTCTTTTACTTTTCCCCTCCCATAAACGTCCTTATCTCTTACCACAAGTGCTTCAATTTTGAGAAGATGTCTTAATTTGGGGCCATTACTGCCATCCCCGAAAGTAAACCTCTCACTTCAAAGAGCCTGACTTGCACCTCCTACTGGAGCATCCCAGTGATGTTTCCTTCATCTCCTTAACAAGCATATGATATTCAGAGCTCACTGTTTCTTCTTCACCAGCCGATAATAATAGAGCGAAGCTGATGGTGCCCATCGTTGTTTTTTCTGTGACTCTAACTAGAAGCCAGATCCTGTTCGAAGACCTTCCTTCCATCATTGTATTTCCTCTTCGCAGTAGCAAGTGAGGCAGCAGCACAGAGAGGTGGAAACACTTCTTGGAGTCACACAGAGTTTGGCCTTCCCTCCCGGCTTCATAGACTGTCTTCCTAACCACTAAGCTCTTTCAGGCTCCCCGAAGAACAGTTTTCTGTTACTGGCATCTTTGAGCTAAAAGGCATTTTAGGTACAAACCTGGAAGGAGGCTGGAAGCAGAAAGTGATGTCTACAGCTTGGCCCGCCCTGTACCAGCAGCTTCTGTCCTAAGCTTCACACACGGTGGTGATGGCAGCTCCAGGTGTGATGGACGCTCCCCGTCCAGTCCTGGCACCATCCTCTGCGAGCTCGGACGTGGGACACGGAGGCGGGTGGGATGCTCACATACATGACCAGTATTACTGCATGTGGTCATTTAAAAAAAACCTTGGGTTAACGTGACCGTGAAGAGTCCAGCTGAGCTGACCAAATACTGAGGAAAGACTGTCGGTGTCACAACACATGCTGTTGTTTACTCATGAGGAGGGGGGGATGAAAGCAGGAAAATGTAAGTCAGCTTCTCTCTCTCTATTTCCCCCACATCTCCAATATGGATAGAAATACCTATCATTACGGGACACTGGGAGGGCTGGAATAACTGTTGAAGCTAATATATAAATTTGAGGAACACTGGCGAAAATGATATGTTCCCCCTAAAATAAGATCTACCCAGAAAATAAATCCCAGCTTGTCATTACTATGGTAATGGCCAGCATCAGGCAGATTGTACCTCAGTATTCTCCTGCTCAGTGCCTACTGTGTCATGGCAGGTCAGGCAAGGTGACTGGGGCTGGTACTTTTGATCTCTAGTTTTTAGGGTTGTTTGTTGTTTCCTGCTTAGTCGCAAAGTGAGTGAATCTCAGCGAAGAGTACAGAACTGGTGTCACCCTCTGGCCTTCACTCAGAAGGCCGGGGACTATGGAGCCCGGACCCCAAAGTGCTGTTCACACTACCCGAGTGGCCCACGGTGTTCACAGAGTGCTTGCCCTGTCCTTAGCAACACCGGGCACTGGAAGAGGTGCGATCAGCACAGAAATTATTGTTTTCAAAGGAGTCTTGAATGCAGTCTTAGTGGTAATTTAGGAGACAAACTTATGCACATGAAATAATAGAATATGGGCCCAGATAATTAATTGTATTGCATTAGCAGTAAGCACAGGATTTATTCAAAAAATGAGGATGAAGAAAGTCTTCTTGGAAAACAAGGAATTTGAATGGGGCCCTAATCGAACTTGTTCCCTGGGAGGGGAGCAAAAGCAGAGAGACCACAGTGGTGACAGGCACCTGTGGGTCCCAGGGTCAGCAAGGGACAAACCAAGGAGGGAAGGAGGTGGGCTGAGGGTTACACCAAGTGAGGCTGCTGTTATTCCCAACTGTTTATTTGAAATTGACCTTTCAAGTATTTCCAAAAAATAAAATAAAATCATAACTTTCGAGCAAATATAAAATAAACATGTGCCACAGATCATACTCAACTCATGAATCAGTGAAGGAGCCAAAGAAAAGAGTTAAAGAGTGGCGAGAAGCTAGGTACGGACACTGGAGGAAGAGAGATCAAATATGCCAGTTCGGAGCCAGCCACTTTAATAAATAAATATAAATTCACTGGGTTAATACAAAACTAGCTAATGTCTTACTGGACAACAAATGCCAGCCTTATGGACTCTCTGTTCCCCTGGGTGGAAGTCATTTGCATCTCTACTGGAAAAACATCTCTAAGCAAGTAACTTACTAATTCTGAGATGTTTCATGAAGTTCATCAGTAGCAAGTGACAACCAGAACTGAGTGCATTCACCTAGATAGCCTGGTTAGCTTTGTCACAAATGACACTGAGAAGATGTGTTATTCTCTCTTTTTTTCTATTTTCAAAGATAATTTTTAAAAAATAATGCTGACCTACAAAGAAATGGAGACCAAAGAAGCTTGCTGCAGGGCCTTTCTGCAGCTCTGAAGATGGGGACCCCTGCCTGTCCTCTGTTCTAGATTTAGTTCTTGAAGAGCGCAGAGAAATCCTTTGGCTCAGCGTCCTGTCCCCTTCCTCCATCAGCTTCCGAATCAGTGCTCACTGCGGGTAACCCTCACAGTGCGGTCAGAGCGCGCTCTCCCCTCGGAAGGGATGTGGACAGGCTGAGGGGAGCCTGAGTCGGATTCCGGGCGGAGAGGGCTGGTTCAACCCTGGCAGAGGCCCCGGTGCTGAGGGTGCATCTGCTGGGGCAGCAGCTACGCAGGGCAGGCTTGGCTCTGCGGACTTCTGACGCCTGTCTGTCTTGCTGCCCCTGCTGACCGGGAATTGCCGGGCAGTGTGTTGCAGGTGCCATGTACATCACGGGCTTTGCCGAATCCATCTCTGATTTGCTGGGCCTCAGGAACATCTGGGCCGTGCGAGGAATCTCAGTTGCGGTGCTTCTGGCCTTGCTGGGTATTAACCTAGCAGGTGTCAAATGGATAATTCGCCTCCAGCTGCTGCTGCTGCTCCTCCTGGCAGTGTCCACACTGGACTTCGTGGTGGGCTCTTTCACCCACCTGGATCCAGGTAAGCCCTCTGGAGCTCCTGTCTGCCTTGTGGCCCGGGGGTCTGCACAGCCTTGCAGATGTTTACAGGCGCAAATCTGCAGCCTGATCTCCCCCTGGAGGCCACACTAGCATTAGGGGCCAATCAGGTTTCCCGTCGGGGAAACTTCCTGGGCCCACAAACTCCTCACACTCACGTTTTCACTGTGCACATTTTCCATGTTTTCATTTCTTTCCCATCAAAACAAAACCCAGAAAATTTAGCAGGAAAAAAAAAACCAGAGGTAGATGGATAAAAATTAAATTCATAACAGTGATTGGGAGACTGTAAGTAATAAATATGGGGGTAGAGAAGAATAATACACTTTGTCTTTTTTTGAAGGATTTGATATACAAATAACAAACATTAGCAACTGTTCTTTCTGAGAGATGGGGTCCAATATGTGTTATTATCATCTTCTGTACTAAATTATTTTTCAAAATAAATAATGTACATCCATCAACTAAGCTTAAAGAAAACAGCCATTGGGTACCCTTTGGAAGTGGAGCTCATGCCTTTGCAATTAATCCATCATCGTTTAATCTCAGCTCGGTGTTCCTCATTCTTAGGGATTCTTGGCACTGGTGGTCCTAACCCCTTACTCACTGTGAGAGGAGCGTTCACCTGAGAGCCCATGCCCTTGTAGCCTTCCGCTTGGCCCTGGTTTTGGCATCAAGGGCCAGTTCTTTCTCTCCAGGTACAGAGCTGTTTCTGGGGTAACTTCCCGAGAGTTCACCCTGCAGGGGCTCTGTCTTGATAGGGCAATAGTGACTGGGCACCTGTACTGAAACGTGGATGGGGAAAGGAAGACAAGGCCACCAACCCCAACCCTAACCCTATGTCCTAGGAAAACAACACTTGCGCAGACAGTGCCTGAGGTGGTGGCAGTGACTGCTGAGTGCTTGCTATGTGCCAGGCATCGTGCTTAGCACTTTGCCTTGCTTAGCTCAGTTAACCCCATCATAACCTTCCAGGTAAGAGTGGTGACACCCGTTGATTTTTTTTGTTTTTTGGCACCAGGGATCGAACTTGGGATCTTGTGCGTGAGAAGCAGGTGGTGGCACCACTGAGCTCAATCCCCAGCCTTAGTGATACCTGTTTTACAGATGAGGAAACTGAGGTGCAACGATGCTATAATTGCAGGAATCAGTGGCAGGGCTGGGGTTTGAAACCAGATCTATTGGACTCTGCACCTGAGGTGGGAAGTAGACTGATTTTCACACAACCTCTGTCTTTCTGTGATGCAAACTGCCTTTCCACTTGGAGGCTGCGCTGATGCGTGCTCTAACAGTCTTGTCTTTTATAACAATGTCAGTGTATGAAAGTCAGAACTCAGTTGGCACACACGGATCTGGCCTTGTTGTTTTGTCACAACAGTTCTCTTATTGAAAATTGTTACTCTTCTGAATTTCCTCATTGTCTCCTACCCCCTGGCATTCTGGGCCTCCACCAGGACCCCCAGCCTGCCCCATGCTGTGGCACCTGAGAGTCATCTCCTATACAGAAGGGGTCTTCAGGACCCAACCCAGTGCCAGGGGCCACAGCATTGCCCACAGTGACCACCAGAAGCCCGAGCCTTGACGCCCATGGTAGGAAGAATCTTCACTATAGGGAAAGAATGACCTTTCCGCTGGCCTCCCACCACACCGCAGAAGTGGCCCCATGCTAAGGGAGACTTGCTGGCCCTTAGCTGCTGAACTGTCAGTGGGTAGGAGAGAGGGGTCTGCAGTCCCCGGGCCTGGGCACTTCCCTCCATCCACACAGGGCTGGGAGAGCAGATTATGTAAATTGTAGGGTGATTCTCCTGGCTTCCTTGAACCCTGCCTAGACTGATGTATTTTGCTGCTTCTTGATTCGAAGTTTTCTTGGTTGCTCTTCTAAGTTACTCCAAATATTTCTCCTTCCTCCTGGTCAATGCATTAGCAGAGTGTAGTGTGAACTGAATTTTATTTTTAAATCTTTCTATGGCAGCTTGCCCCTCTAGAATCTGTTTTGGGTATCAATGAGTTTCACATGGGCTATTTTCTTTGTGGTTAAAAATCCAAACTGAAATCAGACCATAAACCTTCAGAATGGATTTAGCAGAATGATTTCAACTATTTTTTTTTAAAGTGACATAGACATTTGGAAAAAAATAAAAAAGACTGGAAGGAACTATGCGTAAGTGTTAGCAATGCTTGTCTGTAATGTATCATCTGTCGAGATGAAATGTCTTTATTATTTTATTCCTACCTTTCTGCAATTGAGTAGTCTTACTTTTCACAAAACAAATAGACATTTTGGATGCAGTTTCCAGTATATGGAGACTGTAGCAGAGCTTCCCATGATCCTCTCCCCTTCCACCCCTGCCAGCTTCCCCCGTGAACTAGCATCTTGCACTTGTGATGCATCGTCAGAACGAATGAGCCAACATCAACCCACTGTTATTAACAAAGCCAATAGAGCAGGGGTCGCTCTTGGTGTTGTCTGCTCTGCGGCTTTGACAGTAATGCCACACACACTATTGTGGCATCAGACAGAATCCTTTCCCTGCCCTGAACATCTGGGCTCCACCTCTTCATCCCTTTCCCCTCAGACTCCCAGTGACCACTCATCCTTTCCCTGTTTCCATAGCTTAGCCTTGTCCAGGTTGCGGTAGAGTTGGAACCTTGCAGTGTGGAGCCTTTTCAGATGGGCTTCTTTCTCTTAACGGCTTGCACTTGAGGGGTCTTCCGTGTCTTTCTGTGGCTCCATTAGCTCATTTCTTTCTAGCACTGGGTAATCGACTGACTGGCTGGCTGTACCACGATTTTTCGTGCCCACGCAGGTATTGGAGGACATCTGGTTACTTCCGGTTCGGGGCAATTATGAATAAACCTGTTAGACGTCCTTGTTCAGGTTTGTGTGAGGACGTGTTTTCAGTTCATTTGGATAAATGCCAAGGAGCATGACTGCTGGATCACATGTGAAGACAAGGGTTACCTTTAGAGAAACTGCTGCTGGTGGTGGTGGCACACACCTGCAATCCCAACTACAGAGAAGGCCGATGCGGGTGGATTGTGAGTTCAAACTCAGCCTGGGCAACTGAGCGGGACTATTTCAAAATTTAAAAAATAAAAAGATCTTGGGATGTAGCCCAGTGGTCCCTGGGTTCAATTCCCAGTACTGGAAACAAACAAACAAACCAACAAACAGTGGTATAAAAATGATTTTAAAAAATTGCCAAACCTGTGTTCCAAAGTAGCCAGATCATTCTGTCCAATGGGGAATGAGACTTTCACTCATGGGCAGCATTTGCCCCGGAGTTCTGGATTGGGCTATCCCGCTGGGTGTGTGCAGCAGTGGTGTCTACTGTTATTTTAATTTGCAGTTCCTTAGTAGCATTGAACGTGTTTTCCTATGCTTTTTTTTTCTGTCTGGATATCCTCTTCAATGAAGTATCTGTCGTCCTTTTAAAAATTAGGTTGTAGCCAGGCATGGTGGTGCATGCCTGTAATCCCAGCACTCGGGAGGCTGAGACAGGAGGATTGCTGTGAGTTTGAGCCCAGCCTGGGCTACATAGTGAGTTCCAGGTCAGTCTCAACTACCTAGTGAGACCCTGTCTCAAAAACCAAAAAAAAAAAACCACAAAAAAATTAGGTTGTTTGTTTTTCTCCTGTTGAATTTTAAGAGCTCTTTGTATATCTTGGATACAGCCCTTTGACACATATGAGTTTTGTAAAAATTTCTCCTGGTCTCTGATTTCTCTTTTCATTCTCTTAACAGCGCCTTTCACAGAGCAGAATTTTAAAACTGTAATGGAGTCTAACGTCTTAATTTCTTTCATGGATCATGCTTTGGGTGTCACCTAGATTTTCTTCTATGTTATCTTCTAGAAGTTTTCTATTTTACCTTTGGGACTATGATCTGTTTTGAGTAATTCTGGTGAAGGGTGTGAGTTGAGTGTGTGTCAGTGGCCATCTTACTGTCCCAGTACTATTTATTGAAAAACTGTCCCATCTCCCTTAAGTTGCCCGAGCTCCTTTGTCAAAGACCGGCTGATTGTGAAGGGTGTGAGTTGAGTGTGTGTCAGTGGCCATCTTACTGTCCCAGTACTATTTATTGAAAAAACTGTCCCATCTCCCTTAAGTTGCCCGAGCTCCTTTGTCAAAGACCGGCTGATTATATTTTATGTGGTCCGTTTCTGGCTGTCTGTTCCACACACCCATGCACCTGTTCTCTCTCTGTACCACTCTGCCTCCACTAGTGTTGCCTTATAGTTAAGTCCTGAAGTTGGGTACTGCCCATCCTCCAACTGGTCCTTTCTCAATAGTGTTACTTTTAAAATCAGAAAAAAAAATTTAAGCATAGTTAAACTAAATTTAGGTCCTTTTCTTTCTTTTGTTGCTCTTGAGATGCTGGAGTTGGAACCCAGAGCCTCTTGCACAGTAGGCCAAATGCTCTACCACTGAGCTATAATCCCCAGCCCTTCTTTCCTTTTCTTTAAATATAAAAAACTTTAAGGGTCCAAAAAAAAATCCTACAGTATATAATGTTAAAGCATAAAGAGTAAGTGAAGAGATAAGTTGCCATTTTACTCTGTTTCTGTTCAGAGGGAAGTTGGTACACGTGGCACTTGCGTTTGACTCTAACACAAATTTCTCAGCACTTCAGCGGCATAAGGCCCAGAGAATGACCTTCTTCCTGCATCCCTATGGGCTGGACACTGGCTGTGCCTCGGCAGGCGGTGGGTGGGGGTCTTGCTGCTGATGGTACTGTTGTTGGTTAGAGACCAGGGTGCCCGTCCTATGGTCCTTCCAAGATGTGCTCAAGGGTCCTCAGGGCACATGTGGATTGATGTTCCCCAGAGCGATCAGTCAGAGAGACACAGAGAAAGCAAAGTGCTTCTTTTTAGGACCCGGTGTCAGCAGCCATAGAACAGTCCTGCAAACAGAGTGTGCCTCCAAGATTGCTGGGATCACAGGCATGTTCCATCACACCCAGCTTGGAGGCACGTTTTAAAA